CTCTTGGGTATCTACCCAAAAAAATCAAAAACAGTTATTTGCAAAGATTAAATGTCCACATTATTCACAGTACCCAAGACATAGAAACAACCAAAATGTCCTCTGATAGAGGACTGAATAAAGAAGATGTGGTACATGTATACTATGGAATATTATTCAACCATAAGAAAAGATGAAATACTGCCATTTGCAACATGATTAGACCTTGAAAATATTATGCCAAGTAAAATAAAGTCGGTCAGAAAAAGCTAAGAACCATAAGATTTAATTTACATATGGGATATAAATCTGAAACTCATAGACACAGACAATAGTATGGTAGCTACCAGTGGGATAAGACAAGGGGCATAGGATAAATGAGGCCAAACAGAGGATGATTTGACTTGGGTGGTGGGCACACAATACAATATACACATCATGTACCATAGAATAGTACACTTGAAACTTACCTGATCTTATTAACCAATATCATCACAATAAATTTAATTATAAAAAGAAATGCACAGCCACCAAAAAAAAACAAAAACACACACACAAAAGTTTCACTAACTTAACCTGTATCTCCACAAATCTTAAGGAAAGACTCTTTATAGCCATATTTGGGATTATGGAGCTCTGACAATTAAAACTTCACTGCCTTGGGTTAGCAGATGATAAAACCAACCTTATTACATAGAAATCTGAATTCTATAGACTGAATTGAAAATGCAATTATACCTCTCTGTTCTTTGATACACTTGATTGTTAATAAGTAGAATAAATGGTAAAGATGGCATACAGTCAAAATGCTATAGAAGTTTATAGTCAAGGGATGGCTGAAACAAGAACTGTATATTTATAAAACACAAATTGAATCTGGAGCTCATATTTTTATAAATCTACTGGATGATGCTTTGGAAAGAGTAAGATCTTTATAACCAGACAAGAATTAATTCAAATCCTGGATCTATCAATAAATAGATGAGTGATCTTGGTCAAGTACCTACCCTTTTTAGCTTCATTTTCCTCATTGGCTAAAAGGAATTAATAAAATCCTTTTCATAAAAATGGCAGAATAGATACACTGGGGTAATATGTGTTATGGGCTCTATACTGTCTACCTATGACAAATTTATTCATTTTATGTGTCATAGCTTCTGGCACTCCTTTTCTTTTTAATTTCTCTATTCCCGACTTCCTCAGCAAACTCTCCCAAGGTTCTGGTTTGGGAATGGTATTGACTACAAAGGGGAAAATACATGGTCTAGACCCAGAAGCATCTCGATTTCCAGTAGTTCAACCACCTAAAATAACTCTAAAATTACAGGATTAATGGCTTTTGTGAAAATATTACATACACTTTCTGAACATAATATATTAGGCTAAAAATAAAGTTTGATCTGAATTTTTATGCATGTTGAATCATTTTTTCAGGAACTAATATAGGAGCTTTCTATTCAATACCTTATAAATCCTTTGCAAGGGAAATGATCATCACACACCATGGTTTTACATAAATGTGGATCTCTATATGCTGAGAGACACTTCCCATTCACATGAAATATGTTCTAGACAGCTTTGAATCCCATAAGTATTTTGACGATGATGGAGAAAAGGAGCTTTATTGATGAAACAAACTTCTGACGCCAACTGTCCATATTGTTCTACAAAGTTATCCTCTTGTCAAAGTTTTACACAATCTTATAGCTAAATAAAGAATAATGTGATACAGTCATAGAAGATAACACAGCTAATACTTTTTTTTTCTTTTTTTTTTTTCTTTTTTTGGTGCCCTTGATTGGAATCAAACCCGGGACAATTTAGTTCACAAGTTGATGCTCTATCCACTGAGCCAAACCAGTGAAGGTTAAAAGCTAATACTTTTAATTAATTCTCCAATTATCTTCTGAATCTGAGTGTCTCTAGACCAAAAGAACTGTTAAAATCTTTCCCTTCTGAAAAATGTTTGGGCCCTTAGCTCAGAAGGTCTATGATAGGCAGCAACAGTGGTCCAAAATACCCAAAACTCCCAAGCTGGTACTGGATTAGGTGTGTTTATGGTTAAACACACCTCTAAAACATATTAAAGGAGATTTTTTAAAAAACTCCCTAGATAAACATTCAAGCAACAGAAGGCAGACTATTACTTTAATATAGGCAAGGAGGATTTTTATTAAAGAAGGTATTTACCAGTTGAGATTCCTCAATAGTTATAGGTAATTCTTGCTCTGTTTGCACTTGAGATGAACTGTGCCAGTACATTTTTCCCATTAAAGAAGTATCCTTGAAGGAAAAAGAGAAGTAATTAAAATAAGGTCAATTTTAAAAATCATCAAGGTATATTACTCTATGCAGCAAAATGCTAGTCAATATAGTTCAATAAATGAGGACTATATAAAAGAGAAATATAAGCAAGTCAATATTATGTATGAAATGAGAAATACAGAAAAAAAGATACAATAAAACATGTTGTCTATTATTCCAATGTTATGGCTTTTAAAATCATTGATCTCTATAGATATATCATCATATTGAATAAGACAATTAGGTAATATTAAGTCAGATACTGTAAATCACTGCTATTAAATGTTTATGCAAGAAAGATAAAATCAAAGCTAAAATTTAATCTAACCAAGAGTAAGAAATTATATAAATAAACTTAAAATTTTAATAAGTATATCTGTTAGTGTCATTTTTATCATTACTAATGCTCAATGCTATATTATACTCTCTACATAGATGAAATGGTAAGATTGAACAGCACAATATCTAACAATGGGTAAGAATAAAGACACCCAATTTCTACCCAAACTGTTAAGTCACAGATGAGGCATTAAAAGAAGTCATTTTGTTCACTCCAATGTTATCTTTGTACATGACTTTTTAAGGACTCTTTCTCCCCTAGCATTTTAATAATGTTAATAGCAATATCTGAACATTCATTGTGCTTTAAAACTCTATTTTCCTACCTTTCCCTTTTCTTTGCTTCATTACAAAATAAATCCATCTGAGACCACTGACTTCTACTTTACACTTTTGTCCTATCTAATAAAAGAGTGATATGCAAATTGACCATCACTACAGCACACAAGATGGCTGCCCCCGTGTGGTCAAAGATGACTACCCCCATGTGGACACAAGATGGCCACCACAAGATGGCCAGCAGGGGAGGACAGTTGGGAGGGACCAGGACTGCAATGGAGGGCAGCTGGGTGCAATCAAGCCTGCAGGGGAGGTCAGTTAGGGGAGACCGGGCTGGCAGAGAAGGAAAATTGGGGGCAACCAGGCCTGCAAGGAAGGGCAGTTTGGGGGGAACCAGGTCTGCAGGGGAAAGCAGTTGGGGGCGGGGAGGACCAGGCCTGCAGGAGAGGGCAGTTATGGGCAATCAGACTGCAGGGGAGTGGTTAGGGAGTGATCAGGGTGGCAGGCAGAAGTGGTTAGGGACAATCAGGAAGGCAGGCAGGAAAGCAGTTGGGAGCCAGCAGTCCTGGATTGTGAGAAGGATGTCCGACTGCCCATTTAGGCTTGATCCTACCAGAATCAGGCCTAAACAGGCAGTCAGACATCCCTTGAGGGGTCCCAGATTGGAGATGGTGCAAACTGGTCTGAGGGACCTCTGTGCAAGAATTTTGTGCTCTGGGCCTATAGTCATAAATAACTGGACAAAATTTAAGAATACCTCTTTTAAGGTTGGACAACAGGCAATGAAAGACTATGATGACTAAGAATGTGGATGCAAAAAAAGGTTAAGAGTTAAATTACCTCAAATTTCTGTTTTACACAATTTCCAGAATGTAACACAATGAAGGAGAAACCACACAGCGCCCAGTGTCTTACTTGATTGAAGAGACAGAAATTGGAGTAAGAAGACAAGGGGGTAGAATTTGATAGGTACAATATGGAGAAAGAGGCTTCAGAAATTTGCGCTTGACTCTGGCGGAAAACCAATTTTCTCATGCAATGGTGAAATCCATGAGGCCAGCCAAAGAAAAACTGCCAATTTGGATGAAGGGGGGCAGGAACAATTGCCAAAAAGCTATAAGCCACAATTCCCAGAGCTCACATAAGCTGGGAATCATTAGCTCTTCCACAAAACAAGCAGAGAACATGGTACATTTATCATAAACCTCAGAATGACAGTCCATTAGTAGCAGTGCTAAATGAGCTCCACAGTAAGGCTTTGCTGAACTTGAACATCTATACTAAGAAAAGGATAATATGCTACTTAGACTGACTTCCTTCTGTACAGTTAGGGGGTGACCAGGCCAGGAGAGGGGCATTAGGGGTCAACCAGGCAGGGATGGGGGAAGTTAGAGGGCAATCAGGCCAATAAGCAGAGACAGTTAGGGGTGATCAGGCAGGCAGGTAGAGTGGTTAGGGGCGATCAGGCAGGCAGACAGGCAGGTAGGCAAGTGGTTAGGAGCCAGCAGTTCCGGATTGCAAGAGGGATAACCAACTGCCAGTTTAGGACATCCTCTGAGGAGTCCTGGATTGGAGAGGGTGCTGGCTCAGGGCTCAGGGAACCCCCTCGTGCACAAATTTCACGCACTGGGCCTCTAGTTTTAAATAACACTTCAAAAGATACTGGTGATCTTCAGGTAGCTTAACTGCCTATCAGATTAAACCCTAATACTTTTTTTTAATGAAAATAACCAAATCCAGTCTTATCATTTTCATCATCCAATCAGAAGTTATCAATTATGGAAAAATCTTAAATATATAATATACAACCAGAAGAAAAATAAATAGGGAAAAAAAAGAGATAAGAGAGATATTGAAATGAGAAGATACTGATGTTTGGGACCTTAGCCGAGAAGGTCTATGATAGGCAACAAGAGGAATCCAAAAATATCCAAGACTCCCAAGGTGGTACTGAATTAGGTGTGCTTACAGTTAAATAGACCTCTAAAACACATTAAAGAAGATTTTTTTAAAACTCCCTAGATAAACATTCAAGCAACAGAAGGCAGACTATTACTTTAATATAGGCAAGGAGGATTTTTATTAAAGAAGGTATTTACCAGTTGAGGTTCCTCAGTACTTATCGGTAACCCTTGCTCTGTTTGCATTTGAGATGTTCTGTGCCAGTACATTTTTCCCATTAAAGAAATATCCTTGAAGAAAAAAAGAAATAATTAAAATAATGTCAATTTTAAAAATCACCAAGGTAAATAATACAAGTAGTGTTAATATTTAAGATAAACATAGAAAGGATTAAATGTCTGGTATAAAATAAAAATCAAATGGAACATCTATAAAAAAAACACATACATTTTCTGAAAAAAAAATTTCATTGGGTGGCATTAGAAGAAGACATTACAGAAGAAAATATCAGTTCATTAAGACATAGGAATAGAAGCTGTACAAAATGAATTACAGAGAGATATAAAAACTGAAACAAATATTCAATCTAACATATATTTTAATTACAGTTCCAGAAAGAGCATATGGAGAGAACAGAAAATATTTGTATAAAAAATGGCCCAAAGATTCCAAATTTTATGACAACTATAAACCTAATGCAAGAAGCTCCATGAACACTAAGCAGGAACACACAAATACATTGTGCCAAGCACATTATAATCAAAACTAGAGGCCTGGTACATGAAATTCATGCAGGGGTCGGGTCCCTAGGCCTGGCGGGGATCAGGGTCCACTGGGGCCAGGTCAATCAGGGCCGGGCCAGAGAGGAAGCGACAGTCGCCATGCTGGGCACAAAAGGAACAGACTCCAAATGCTGACGTCACCATAGTCAGTGCTCTGCCACCACATGGTTCCCTGCCTGCCCCCTCCTCCTTCCTTCACTGCCATGCTGCCACCACAGCAGTGGGTGGTAGGCCAATTAGGGCCTCCCGGCCAGGGGAAGGAATAGAGCATAGGAGGTTGACCGCAGGCCTCAAGGAGGAAGCTAGCCCTCAGCCCCCCTAGGAAAGGGGCCATGTCCACCACCACTCACCCTGACTTCCTGTCCCAGCCCAGGGCCCAGCCCCAATTGGGCAATCTGCAGGCTGTAGGGAGGAACCATGAGAGGTTGGCCGGTCAGGGGAGGTTGCACTGACCACCAGAGGGCAGCTCCTGCATTGAGCATCTGTCCCCTGGTGGTCAGTGCATGTCATAGAGGCAGGTCATTCCGGTCATCCCATTCATTCTGGTCACTGAGGCTTTTATATATAGATTATAAAAACCAGCAATAAAAAAAAAAATCTTATAAGCATCCAGAAAAACATTAATTATAAATAACGAATTACCAGTGACTGAATTCCACATATTAATGCTACAGACTTTTTGACAAAACTATAAAAGCCAGAAAAAAGGAAGCAACATATTCTAGAATATTTGCACTAAAAAAACACAACTGTCCACATAGAATTCTATATGCATCAAAATATCTTTCAAAACCAAAGGTAAACTACTTTCTCAGTAAACAAAAAGTGAAAATATTAATTATCATCAAACCTGCATTACAAGAAATATTAAAGGAAATTCTTCAAGCAGATGGAAAATTATATCAGATTAAAACTTGAATGTTCACAATGAAAATAAATGGTAAAATGATAAAAATGTGGGTAAATAAAAGATAATTTTTGCTTTTTAATTATTTCTTTAAAATATAATTAATTGGTTAAATACAAAATGATGTGTTGAGATTTATAACATATATACAGTGAAGTATGCATTAATAAAAGCACAATGATGGAAAAAGGAAAAAAATATATTTCTAAAAGGCCCTTATACTACATGTGAAATGGTATATTATTTCCTGGAATAAGTTAAATATGCATATTATAAACTATATAGCAGTCACTAAAATAATAAAACAAAGAGATAAATAAGCAAATTATATGGAATAATATAAAATGCTTAATAAGTAATAAAAGATGACTGGTAAAGAGAAAAAATATGACAAATAAAAACCAAATAACAACATAATAAATATAAACAAAATCATATCAATAATTACATATAAATGGTTCTAAACTTATAAATTGAAAGGCAGATTTTCAAACTGCAGGGAAAAAAACCAAGATCTTATGTATGATTTCTATAAGAAAAATACTTTAAGTATAAAGACATAAATATGTTAAAGTAGAAGGCTGAAAGAAAATATAACATGCAAACACTAATCATAAAAAACTGTAAAGACTATAATTATATCAGATATGGTAGATCTCAAAATAAGAAATACTATCAGAAGAAAGAGAATTACTTTATAATAAAAGTGTCATGCCAAAACCGGTTTGGCTCAATGGATAGAGTGTCAGCCTGTGGACTGAAAGGTCCCAGTTTCGATTCTGGTCAAGGGCATGTACCTTGGTTGTGGGCACATCCCCAGTAGCGGGTATGCAGGAGGCAGCTGATCAATCTCTCATTGATGTTTCTAACTCTCTATCCCTCTACCTTCCTCTCTGTAAAAAATCAATAAAAATATATATTTTTTTTAAAGTGTCAAGTTCCTCAGAAGTCATAAAAGTACACACTAATGACAAAACTTCAAAGGGCATAAAACAAAAAAACTAACAGAACTTAGAACAAAAAGTAGAATATTTCATTATTATAGTTGTAAATTTCAAACCAAGACTATATCTGCTCCAGAGACTTCACAAATATGCTAGACAAACAGTTAATGTGAAATGGGAAAGCCTGCAAAATATTTTTATAACCTTTTAGGTTTAAAAATATATAATTAATTTATAAAAAGATAACAATAATGAACACCAAATTCATAATATTGTTCACATTAGAGGAGGGAAGAAATTATTGGAAAGAAGTACAAAAGAGGCCTGTACTTTTCTTGTAGCTTTCTATTTATTTAAGCAATCTGAGGGCTATAAGAAAAATATTAAATTTTAAAGAATCTGAGTGATGCATACTTTTTCTACAGTTGAAATATTTAATAATATAAACACTTCAAAGAAATTTCTCAACAGATTTTATGTGGGTAACATAACAATGTTAAAGATAAATAAAAATACATTTTTTAAAAACCTTATAGTTTAGCTCATATATGAACATAAATGCAAAAGTCCCAATTAAAATATTTCCAAATGAAATTAATTAGTATATTTATAAAAATACGACTTTTTTCGATTAGTTTATGTTTAATATTATTTTGCATTACATTTAGATGTATAGCATAGGGGTTAAACAATCATATATTTTGTAAAGTGTTCCCCCCAAGATTTCCAGTACCCACTGGGCACCATACATAGTTATTATAATATTGTTGACTATACTCCTATGCTGTATAAAAACAATACATCTTGACCAAGGAAATTTTTCCCAGAAATGTATTGCTAGCTTATGAGATCAACAGATTAGCATGACATTTTATATGATCATTGCAATAACTGCTACAGAAAATAAAATCCAATAAGGCCTCTAGTGTAAATATAAGCAGGAAAATCACATGGACACTATCCATTTATTGTTAGTGAAATAATCCTAAAAAGTAACCAGAAATAGAGGAAAACTTTCTTAACACCACAAGAGATATTTGCAGATTCCCACACCAAACACTAATTCATAATAAAATGTTATACAGGGGAGATCCAAGTAAACACCTAAACTGCTGCCTTGCACAATTTCAAAACTACAATTAAAAGACAAAACATCTGTCACCCAGAACCACAGGAAAGCTGGCTGAGTGGAAGTTCTACAAATAGAAGGAAAGAGAAAAGAGCATTGAGGGCACAAGTGCTGAAAAGCTAAGGTACAGGGGCACGCATGATATGAGCTGGTGGCGGATCCCAGCTGGCAGAGGGTGCTGCTTTCTTCAACCCAAAGAGAGAAAAGCTCCCCATTTCTCTGAAATCCCGTTTCTGGGGAAACACAGGGGACCCAAACTCCTATGGGGAGAAACTGGACTCTCTGCCATGGGGTCGGAAAGTGAGGGTGGTTTGCTAGAAGAGCTGCACACAGGAGCTTGCTGATCTGGGGCAAGGGACATGGTTGGAAGTGCTGGAACAGAGGGCTGGTATCCATCGCTGTTTGCCATGCCCTAGCCTGGTGATGCCCTGAGACCCTTCCCCACACAACCTACAAACCCACCCAAGCTCCAAGCAGGGGCTTTTGCATATGAATTGCCTTCCCAATCAGAGCTTAACCTAGCAAACTTGCAACCCAGTTCAGACAGCTCCAAAGCCTCCAAGCCCCAAGCAGGGAGGTGAGGGCTGTGGTTCTCATTGTAACTCCTGCAGGGTGGCCTTAGAAGTAGCTTACCTGCACCTTATTGGAGATCCAGAAACCAGTGTACCTAGTGGCCAGTGTGAGACACCAGATTTCAACTCCTCACATCCATAAGTGACACATTCGGGAGGCGGACTCAGTGAGCACCAATGCCCCACTGAAACAAGGCCTGCACCATAAGTATGTCTCTAGCGGAGCAGTTCTTCCATTATAGACACAGCGGGTCCTCACAGCCAATTGGCCTGGAGGTTAATTCCTCTCAGTGTACCAACAGCAATCAAGGCTTAACTATACCAAGACTTTGCACTCAGCCCACAAAGGGATGTATCAAGAGTGTCCACCTCAGGTGATTGGGGAGGCTGAGTTACTGGCCCCTGCACAGATAACCTACTACACAAAGCCACTCCATCAACACAGAGAGGCAGCCAAAATGCAGAGACACAGAAGCATATCACGAATTAAAGAAATGGAGGAAAGCAAACTACTAAATGGCACAGAGTTCAAAACCACATTTATGAGGTTACTTAAGAGTCTTCTAAAAACCACTGAGAAGCTTGAAAAGACCTTCAAGGACATCAATGAGAATGCCAAAAAAAATGGAAAAGGACCAGTCAGAAATTAAGCATACACTGTCTGAAATAAAGAATATACAGAAACTCAACTGTAGATCAACGTTCCCCAAGAACCAAATCAAAGATCTGAAAAACAAAAAGAAAAAAAAGAATAAAAAAATATGAAGATAGTGTAAAGAGCCCCTGGGACAATTTTAAGAGTAACAAAATCCAAATTTTGGGGGTGCCAGAAGAAAAGAGAGAGAAAAATATTGAAAACCTATTAGAAGAAATAATGACAGAAAACCTTCCCTACCTGGTGAAAGAAATAGATTTACAAGTTCAGGAAGCACACAGAACCCCAAATAAGAGGAATC